TACATTATCCATTAAAGATAAGGTGGCTTTGAAGCCACTGTCGGTTGCCATGAGCTCAGTCTCATGAAGCAGGAGAATATGCTTTATTATTACGCTAATACCAACACTACAGCTTATTTGCCTATCACAATTGTTCTAATATGACATAATAAACAATATAAATAACATAAAACATGTTAAATACGCCAGAATGAATAATATTTGGCATAATACCGAGCAGTTCGACGGAGGTATGAAGAGGATATGGTATACAAATACCGTTCTCCTATCCCTGTCTTGGGGGCTTATATTAAAGAAAACGGAGTGTAGCACAGGGCTAACTGTGATATACACTCGTACTGCACCATAAACCTGAAACAAAAAAGATATTTTCTCTCTATAGATTATCACACATAGCAGCGTATGTGTAGAGAACCTAGGATAGCCCCAAAAAAGTCAACGTGGCTTATTTTTATTATCTGGCTTGGGTTAGCCATATATGATTTTTGGTAGTTCAACCCACTTTGCACACATTTCCTTAATTTTTGAAGTAGGCACAATGGATTCCACAACTGGCATAAGCTTCTCAGGGTTAGCCCCAAACCCTTCAAAATCTTTCTTAATTTCCATACTAATTTTCACCCTTTTTACCACAGGGTTGGCACTAAAAGCTTTCTTGGGGCCCATGGTGACTTATTTTGCAGAAACAAGCACCAAAAACACTGTGATAATATGGAATGTACCGAATGTATGCTTAGATGCGAGCACACTGGCTGGCTTGTAAACACTGGCACGCACGCGGGCACATCCCGGACGAATCGCGGGTGGCGGGTTTTTTAACGAGTGGCGAGGCAAAATTTTTGCGTTAAAATGTATCGAATACTGGATTTATCATATACCGATGCCATCGAATGTCGGGGGTCCACTGTACTTGCAATATCTGCCACATTGCTCCCCTATCCACTCTATCATATGCCTTTTATAAATCCATAAATGCAATAAAAACTTCCCTACCTTTATCTAAATACTGCTCACATATATGCTTCAATGTAAACACTTGATCTACACATCCCCTTCCTACTCTAAAACCTCCTTGCTCATCCGCAGTTCTACATTCTGTCTTACCTCTAATTCTTTCAATGATATCCCTACCGTACACTTTTCCTGGTATACTCAGTAAACTTATTCCTCTATAATTTTTACCATCACTTTTGTCCCCCTTCCCTTTATATAAAGGGACTATACCCGCTCTCCGCCAATCCCTAGGTACCTTCCCCTCTTTCATACATTTATTTTTATTATCACACTGGCCGATTCCCACCAAGGCAGGGTGGCCCAAAAAAGAAAAACTTTCACCATCATTCACTCCATCACTGTCTTGCCAGAAGGGTGCTTTACACTACAGTTTTTAAACTGCAACATTAACACCCCTCCTTCAGAGTGCAGGCACTGTACAGGTCTCCCTCAACATTCACGTTTTTAATTTTCACGGGCTTCACACATTCGCGAATTTCCAACCGCCAAATCATATTTAAGTTACCCGCCACCTGTGAGTCCCTACTACCCTCCCTCCGACCCCCGCAACTGGCAGCCAGCCCTCCCACCACTCAGTGTGGCGAGTGTTTTGTTTGTTCATTATTTGCTATTAAACTACAGTATAAATAATGTAAACCCATTCATGACTGCATTTTGGAATGGCTATTAGGACAGGTATTAGACGGTGACATCATGTATTTACTCTTGAACACTGCAAAGAATTAAACATTTCTGCTACAGCTAATAATAACAATAGTAGTAGTAATAATAATAATTATAATAATAATAATAATAATAATAATGATATAATTGAAGAAGTAAATTGTACAAAAATACGAGGGAGTGGTTGACACATCGTCAGTGTGACTTTGTTTATGCTGGAGTGAACATTAGTCTCCCTGATCTTCCAAACATTTCACAATAATTCTTTGTGTTTGGTGCTTGTAGATTGAGTGTGACTGGAGTGGTAGAAGCAGTGATTGAGGCAATGGTATTTAATAACATACATCTTAATAATAATACATGTTATTAATAATATGTACTATTATTATTTATAACATGTTATTAAATACATACATGTTAATAATAATACATGTTATTAATAATAACATGTACTATTATTATTTATAACATATGTTATTAAATACCACTGCCTCAACCGCTGAATTATTGTGAAATGTTTGGAAGAGCAGGGAAACTAATGTTCACTCCAGCATAAACAGTCACACTGACGATGTGTCAACCACTCCCTCGTATTTTTGTACAATTTCCTTCTTCAATTATATTGTATTTATTATTATTATTACTATTGTTATTATTAGCAATAGCAGAAATGTTCGATTCTTTGCTGTGTTCAAGAGTAAACACATGATGTCACCTTCTAATACCTTTCCTAATAGCCATTCCAATATGCAGTCATGAATGGGTTTACATTATTTATACTGTAGTTTAATAGCAAATAATGAACAAACAAAACACTCGCCACACTGAGTGGTGGGAGGGCTGGCTGCCAGTTGTGGGGGTCGGAGGGAGGGTAGTAGGAACTCGCAGTGGTGGAATCTGTGGTATTTAATAACATACATGTTATTAAATAACATACATTATTAAAGCATAACATGTATATATTTAGAACAATTTACGACGTTTTCATGTATTTTATGATTATTCATGGTTCAACAAGTTAAGGAAGCAGTATTGTAATATATTTCCCTACAATATATTGAGGCACCAAACATTCACGGTTTTTCAACATTCGCGAGGCTCTTGATCCCCTAACCCTCGCGAATGCTGAGGGAGACCTGTACTTCCCATCTCCAGGACTCAAGTCCCGCCTGCCGGTTTCCCTGAACCCCTTCATAAATGTTACTTTGCTCACACTCCAACAGCACATCAAGTATTAAAAACCATTTGTCTCCATTCACTCCTATCAAACATGCTCACGCATGCCTGCTGGAAGTCCAAGCCCCTCGCACACAAAACCTCCTTTACCCCCTCCCTCCAACCTTTCCTAGGCCGACCCCTACCCCATCTTCCTTCCACTACAGACTGATACACTCTTGAAGTCACTCTGTTTCGCTCCATTCTCTCTACATGTCCGAACCACCTCAACAACCCTTCCTCAGCCCTCTGGACAACAGTTTTGGTAATACTTTCCTGCACCTCCTCCTAATTTCCAAAACACGAATTCTCTGCATTATATTCAAAACACACATTGCCCCAGACAGACATCTCCTGCCTCAGCCTTCTCCCCTGAAAACATTCATCACCCACGCTTCACACCCATATAAAGCGTTGGTAAAAACTATACTCTCATACATTCCCCCTCTTTGCCTCAAGGGACAAAGTTCTTTGTCTCCACAGACTCCTAAGTGCACCGCTCCCCTTTTTCCCTCATCAATTCTATGATTCACCTCATCTTTTTAACCCATCCGCTGACACGCCACTCCCAATATCTGAATAAATTACCTCCTCCTACTCTCTCCCTCAATCTGATATCCAATCTTTACACCTAATCTTTTGTTATCCTCATAACTACTCTTTCCGATACTTTAATTTTTCTTTTGCACACCACCAACATCCACCAATCTTGCAACTTCTCTTCAGAATCTCCCAAGAGCAATGTGAACAACTCCCACTTTATGTGGATTCTTATCTTTTAACTCCACGCCTCTTGCCAAGACCCTCGCATTTACTTCCTTACAACCCCACTATAATAATTAAAAACGGGGTGACATCACACATCCTTGTCTAAGGCCTACTTTACGGGAAATAATCCCTCTTCCTACAATTCAACTTGAGCTCACTTCCTGTAAAACTCTTCACTGCTTCGTAACCTACCTCCATCATAACCTGCAACATCTGCACATGCTCCCCTATCCACCCTGTCATATGCCTTTTCCAAATCCATAAATGCCACAAAGACCTCTTAGCCTTATCTAAATACGTTCCTTTATTTTTCACTGTAAAACCTGGCCAACACCCTCCTTTCCTAAACATTTATTAAACAAAAACAACCATTCCAACACTATGTGCCCCCCTGCTTTTAACATTTCTGTCATGATCCTGTCAGTTCCAGCTGCTTTACCCCCTTTTATTCTATGTAATGCCTCACGCACTCCCCACCCACATCCTATCTTCTTCCTCTAAAGATGGTATCCTCCCTTTCCAGTGCGAATTACCGCCTCCTTTTTTCGCGCATTAAAGGGTCCTCAAAATATTCTCGCCATCTACCCAAAACCTCCATCTCCCCATCTGCTAACTCCCCTACTCTGTTTTTAACTGACAAATCCATTTGTTACTAAGCATTATACTGAGGTATTTTCTCCTGCCCCTGGGGTGGTTTTTTTGAGAGCTGGAATGGACTAATGGCATTTCAATTAATTTCAATAAGGGATATTGGCAGTTTGGAGAGATATATTGTGTATTTTTATACGTATATACTTCTAAACTGTTGTATTCTGGGCACCACTGAAAAAATAGTGATTATGTGTGAGTGAGGTGAAAGTGTTGAATGATGATGAAAGTGTTTTCTTTTTGGGGATTTTCTTTCTCTTTGGGTCACCCTGCCTCGGTGGGAGATGGCCGACTTGTTGGAAAAAAAAAAAAAGGAAAACTGATTTGATATACTAGCAAATTGAGTTACGAGCTAGGTCACGGAATGAATTAAACTCGTACGTGAAGGTACCACTATACATATAAAATATGCAATAACTTTAAAACGCTTGAAAATTTGGAAAGTTTCCAGACATAATAGAGAGATGTACTCACGGAGAATGTAAACAAACTGGGTGGGGCGCGCTGTATTAGAAGGACGGGGAGCCGTAGAGAGAGTTTTGGTCATAGTTTAAAATCACCGTATTAGAAGAATGCTATAAGGTGAAACGCCATAAATCAGGGCCCTACTGCACAAAACCAACCTATAATGAGGGTTTGGAGAAATATAATAAATAAAAAGTATATATTGTACAGATTAGAATAGAACTTACTTGATTCTGCAGTAATTGAAGGAGGACGGTCTTGTTGAAAATAAAATTTGAGAGGGTAGATGTCATCAAATTCAACACGTGAGATACAACCAACAAATCCTTCTGCCATAGATTCATTCTTTCCAATGTAAACATATTGTATATTGTTAAACTGAGCATCTGCCGATCCTTTGACATCAAATGTCCAAGTAGTGGGCTCATAATTGTCAACCTGAAAAAAAAATTTATTACCTGTACAGCACAGCATTCAAGTACTGTAGACTGTTGGTTTATATCTGATCTGTTAAAGTGTTTTTGCCATTCACAGTTGTATCATATTTTCAATGAGCCCGCCATATTTATCAGTTAACATGACGGAGAACATGTAGGAGGAAAATGTGGCATGCGCCAGGTTCTTCCTTCTCCATTTTGCGATGAGCACATGAGCGAGTTCAATGTCTTACAGGGGAGGCCTACTTAATGTACATAACCTCCCCCACTTCAGTGCTCTGTTCACAAGTGTCCAATATCATACATTGGATACACACCTCTGCCATACTGCCTGCCTCCAACCATTCCCTACCACGTAACATACAACCCACAGAAGTCCCTCATAGCTACGTGCCTTCATCCAGATCATCCCAACTAGCAACCTACCCATACAATTCCCCCCACAGCCACATGCCTACACCTACACCATTCCCTAACAGCCATTTTTTCCCACTACCTCACAACCACACCTTGCCTGGCCCCACACCATTTCCCCACTACCTTATGCTCAAACCTTACTTGACCTTTCATCCTAACATGCTGTCCACACATATCCCCATTACTGCCTACACCACCAACTGGACACTTACAGGGTCACTCAAGTCACCCATTATCCACACCACCACCAACACTGGGCCACTGACAACCACACCTTTCACCTACACCCCTCCCCCACAGCTTCAAGCCCACACAGCCACACTCATACACCTTACTCATGCTAACACAACCCATGCACCCTAACATGCCATCACATAGCCACTCACCATCACCACCCACACCATCAACCCCCCATTTGCCCACCCTGTAACCTGCACCGTGACACTGACACTGCCAGGCACACTGTCACCATCACACTGCCTTGTTGATTCCAGCCATTGCACTCTGCCACTGCCCAGCATCCTCCCCCTCCCAACACCAGCCATCAGCTCCTGCCCCCACCCCTCCAATGCTCGGTCTCCACCTCCCACTCCAGCAGTCTCCCAACCTCCATCTCCCACACCAAACCCATTCACCCCCAACTGCTCTAACCCCTAACAACTTTAACCCCTCTTTCATAAACCCCCATAAATAATAAGGCACTGCCATCTTTGACACATGTCACTACATCAACCTACATTTACATTATTATCATTTTTTTGCAATTTCAAGACCTTAAATTTTTTTTTTTGTGAAGGAAAAAGGGGGGGGGGGGGGTTGAGGAACACAACCAGAATTTTCCCTTATGCTCTTCAATTTGCTTTACACAACGTTATGATTACATGCCATTTTCAGGAAGATAATTATGTACCGTGATCACTGATGATCATCTATACATAAATTTCCTCTAATCTCTTGCCAGTTAGTTTAATATCTATATTATGTACCCCATACCCATCCTGTGGGCGTTAGTCAAAAAATTACGGAGGTACATAATGGGTAGCCATCTATTATTATTTGCCTTTTATTTTTTCAAACTTTTTACAGTAATCACCTTACTGTTTTCCAAAATAACTAAAAACTTTCTTCCTTTACATAATTTTGAACTTGACCAACCTCTTCAGTTTTTTTTTTTTTCAAAATCACTAAATAATAACGTCATATGCAAACAGCAAATGTGACATCTAACATGTTAGATCAAATTATCTTTCAGAACCACACCTCTCTCACCATTTTGGCATTCGTATATTTTACCACCTGGTCAATAAATATTTTTTAAACACAATGGTCATCTACTAAGGGAGAGTGGCACAAAAAGAAGAAATGCTTTCACTGACACTCATTCAATCACTGTCTTGCCAAAGTGTGCTGGCATTACAGTTCATGTGACCCTTCAGACTGCATCCAGAACCCTCCTTAAAAGTGCAGGCACTGTAGTTCCCACTTTCCAAGACTCAACTTGGAATCCCTTTATGTTACTCGGTCCACACTCTAACAGCACTTTCACAAAGTAATGAATTACTTCTTCTTACCTGCATTGTAAGTTTTCTTCCAGAATCTGATCTATACAGCTTTACATCATGGTTCTGGCCTTCATGGAATGTTCTTTTCCCATAAACTTTTTCGTGTCGCTCAAATCCAAAATCAAACGTTACTTTTAAATGGCCTGAAAATAATAAAATAAATTCTTGTTCTAAGCCTCAATTCCAACTTGGCACACAAGACTATTACAAACATCTTCAGTGACTTAGAAGGTTCCATACTGTCATTCAGGTACAGCGGAACTCCGATTTTCATACTGTCTGCATATTGTACGAATTTAGGACACTTTTTTTGGGCAAAATTTTGGTCCGGATTTTTCTACTTCCATCCAAAAATTGTAAGTACCAGACGCGTCCGCCCTCCCGGGACGCCGCCAGTCTGGTTCTGTCACTGGTTGAGTGAGCATTTATCTGAAACATTTCGCAATTTTTGTGCATGTTTATTGATTGCGACTGCAAAATAAGCCAACATGGGCCCAAAGAAAGTTCCTAGTGCCAGCCCTATGGTAAAGAAGGTGAGAAACACTATAGAATTAAAGAAAGAGATTGTAGAAAAATACAAAAGTGGCATATGTTAAGCTGAGCTTGCAAGGATGTATGGGAAATCGAAATCAACAATCTGTTCCATCCTGGCAAAGAAAGTAGAAATCAAGGAAGCTAAAGTTGCAAAACGGTAAATGTGCTAATGAAACAGAGATCACAAACAATTGAAGATGATGATGATGGTTTAGATCAACAAGTCTTCAATAAAGGTATGTAATGGTCATTTATTATTAAAATTAGTCATTTATATTTATTTCTCATTGTTTTCTGTATGTAAAACTATAGTTATTCTTTTAAAAATGTATTTTTTTGTTAATATTTTTGGGTGTCTGGAACGGATTAATTGTATTTACATTATTTCTTATGGGAAATATTAATTCGGTTTTCGTACGTTTCGGATTTAGACTGACCTTCTGGAATAGATTAAGTACGAAAACCGGAGTTCCACTGTATTTTCTCTGAAGGTTAATATGGATTCAGTTATCTTAAAGCAAGTAATAAGTGCACTTCCTATCAAAGAGGAAATGAAGGCAGTGTAAATTCTGCTCCTGTAGCTAAAAACACAGGTAGTCAGACATGGAATCCTTCTCATACTGAGTTATTATAAGTATACATGAGTATTATAAAAAAATAAGACTAATAAAAAAATATTTACATTTTAAAAATGACCTTTATTTTAGGTCAGGAAAAAATATATACTAACCAGAATTTGATATTGCTAAAGTGAGATATTCTCCTGTAAGGTTTGAGTACAGCCCCATAAGAAATCCACGTGGGTTAGTTGTCGTAAATCCAACACGAATCCTCTCAGCAATGGTGGATTTGTACGTGCCTGGAATCTCATACTTAACCATTGTGTCTGTTAACATCTTGATGCCGATCTCTGCAAACATATTTTAAGAAGCAATATAATGCAACTTCTAATAGCTTAATCATATTTTTATACAAGTCTCTCAACAAATATTAGAGTATCGTTAGCATTATATCACTACATAGTATATTGTCATGAGATTTTATTTTAATCAGGAAGAGCTAAACTGGTAAGGATCATATCGCACCTGAACAATAAGTGGCATTCAAGTTTGATATATGCAAGGGTAGAAGTTCAGTTCCTTGAATCAAGAGCCCTACACTGGTATCAAAACACAAAAAAATGACTAATTTCTGTAATGATCTTTTACAAAATACTGTAAAATAAGTAACCTCCTTACCATCAGCACAGATGGGTCCCTTAAATGCTGTCCATCTGCAGTCACACTCATATTTGAAATATCTTTCATAGCAGGTACCATTGTTAAGGCAAGGACTGGACTGGCACTTGCCAACACACCCTGGTAGGACACCATATTGTCCAGCCTCTGCTCTTCCTCTTAAATCTTGAAGTTCCCCATTAAGCATAAGGGCTCGGAAACATCCAACAAAACCATCAAGGTAATCCACAGTAGCTCCTAAATACAGATTATAAAAATTTAACAGTTAGAATAGCAAAAGGGAATATGAAAAGTGTTGAACGATGATGAAAATTTTTTTCTTTCTTTTTGGCTCACCCTGCCTCAGTGGGAAACGAGTGGGTAGGGGATGTGTAGATTGAAGCATATATGTGAACAGTATTTAGATAAAGGTAGGGAAGTTTTTATTGCATTTATGGATTTAGAAAAGGCATATGATAGAGTGGATAGGGGAGCAATGTGGAAAGTATATGGAACAGGTAGTATGTTACTAAATGCTGTAAAGAGCTTTTATGAGGATAGTGAGGCTAAGGTTAGGGTGTGTAGAAGAGAGGGAGACTACTTTCCAGTAAAGGTGGGTCTTAGACATGGATGTGTAATGTCACCATGGTTGTTTAATATATTTATAGATGGGGTTGTAAAAGAAGCAAATGCTAGGGTGTTGGGGAGAGGGGTAGGATTAAATTAAGGGGAATCAAATACAAAATAGAAATTGACACAGTTACTTTTTGTTGATGATACTGTGCTTATGGGAGATTCTAAAGAAAAGTTGCAAAGGTTACTGGACGAGTTTGGGAGTGTGTGTAAAGGTAGAAAGTTGAAAGTGAACATAGAAAAGAGTAAGGTGATTAGGGTATCAAACGATTTAGATAAAGAAAAATTGGATATCAAATTGGAGAGGAGTAGTATGAAAGAAGTGAATGTTCTCAGATATTTGGGAGTTGACGTGTCAGCGGATGGATGTACAAAGGATGAGGTTAACCATAGAATTGATGAAGGAAAAAATGTGAGTGGTGCATTGAGGAATATGTGGAAACAAAAGACATTATCTATGAAGGCAAAGAAGGGAATATATGAAAGTCTAGTGGTACCAACACTCTTACATGTTTGTGAAGCTTGGGTTGTAAATGCTACAGGAAGGAGGTGGTTGGAGGCGGTGGATACGTCCTGTCTAGGGGCAATGTGTGGTGTAAATATTATGCAGAGAATTCGGAGTGTGGAAATTAGGTGGTGTGGAGTTAATATAAGTATTAGTCAGAGGGCTAAGAGGGGTTGTTGAGGTGGTTTGGTCATTTAGAAAGAATGGATCACAGTAGAATGACATGGAAAGCGTATAAATCTGTAGGGAAGGAAGCTTAATATGGTGTAGGGGTGGGAGTCGTCCTCGAAAAGGTTGGAGAGAGGGGGTAAAGGAGGTCTTGTGGGGGAGGGGCTTGGACTTCCAGCAAGCATGCGTGAGCGTGGTAGATAGGAGTGAATGGAGACGAATGGTACTTGGGACCTGACGATCTATTGGAGTGTGAGCAGGGTAATATTTAGTGAAGGGATTCAGGGAAACCAGTTATTTTTATATAGCCGGACTTGAGTACTGGAAATGGGAAGTACAATGCCTGCACTTTAAAGGAAGGATTTGGGATATTGGCAGTTTGGAGGGATATGTTGTGTATCTTTATACATATATGCTTCTAAACTGTTGTGTTCTGAGCACCTCTGCAAAAACAGTGATTATGTGTGAGTGTGGTGAAAGTGTTGAATGATGATGAAAGTATTTTCTTTGTGGAGGATTTTCTTTCCATTTGGGTGACCCTACCTCAGTGGTAGATTTCCAACTTGTTTAAAAAAAAATAAATAAATACATGTTCATAAATGTGGAATGTGACCTAAATTTAAGTAGAAGGAGCACGCAGGAAAACTGGTTAGCCAGACTCGAGTTCTGGAGATGGGAAGAACAGTGCCTGCACTCTAAAGAAAGGCTGGGGATATTGGCTGTTTGGAGGATCATCTGAACTGTTGTATCCATGTGCCTCTGGCAAGACAGTTATAGTGTAAATGATTGTGAAAGTGTTTCTTGTTTTGGGTCACCCTCCCTCAGTGGGACATGGCCAGAGTTTAAAAAAAAATTTAAGAAAATTAATGCATCTTTTATTCTCTAAAGTAGAAAAGAAAGCCTACCAACAACGAAGTCAGATTCCAGATGTAGAGCACGAACTGGTATAGATGGTTCTTTTATTGCTGCTTTCCGCCCACCATCAACAATCAGTCGTGCTTCTTTACGGTTTCGCTCCACCACTACCGAGTGCCAGTTGTTGTCATTGAGCACATAGGCTGTCTCCACACTAACACTCATTGGACCAGAACCAGCCTGATACGGAACTAAAGCTCATACCCCTTTTAAAGGGAAAAATTTTATCCCAGACTACAATTTTTAGTGCTTGCTTTCACTTTTAGTTATCTTTATTACTTAACATTTTCCCACATGAAAAGCAATCATGAATTTTTTTTTTATTATATTCTTAATTTATCCCAATTTACAGACATTTTTTAAATTTTTCCTTTTTTGTTCCTAAATTTCGTCTGAAAAGCATATTTAAATTTCTATCTACAATGGAAATCACTACCAGTAAATAGAGGGTACCTCGAGTTTGAACAGCTCCCACGAACAATTATGTAAGTGTATTATTGTAAGTGCTTTTGTAATTATTTTTGGGGGCCGAAACGGACAAATTTAATTTTTACATTTTTCCTTTATGGGAAAAAATTTCTTTTGTAACACACCAACACCTTCGGGAACGTTTTTTTGGGCCCCGGAAATTCGAGGTACCATTGTAATAAATTAGCAACATTATCGTTTTGGTATTGAATTGACAATTATTTATCTATTTGTTTTAAATAAAAAATTTCACTTTTTCACAAGCTCGCATTAGCACAAAAACAAAATAAAAAAAATTCAATTCCCCCCTTTTACTGCAAACCCCCAAATCAAATCTTGAAGGCTCCTAGGTTGAAAAATTTAAAACCCTTTAAATGTTTCCGACTATAAAACGTCTTACGAGCCAATTTTTTCTGACTATTTATACCACAAATTCTAGCGGCTTCAAATCGAGGCCAAAGGCCTGATGGGCCTACACGGGAGAGAAAAGGGGGTCTCAGTGGTGGGTTTGCACCCTGTGAAAAAAATCTGGGACCTAGGGGTGTTGTGGGAACCCATTTTTCAGCCCTTTTCCCCCAATGCCTCCGGTAAAAGTTCCTCACTCCTCGGGGGTTTGGGGGTCTTTTGTTCCAAAGTATAGCTCTAACAGCGATAAGTGTCATGACAGGAATTTCAAGGGGGTTTTAAAGTGAGTGTTCCAAAAAAAAGTCCCCAGGAAAACGTAAATATGACGAAAACCCAATGCCCCACAACCTTCGCCCCTCGGGTGCGTGCCGGCTTTTCACTTAAAGTTCGCCTTACCAGACAAAAGGGGAAAACATTTGGTCGGTACAACCCCCTGATGAAAGCAGTGATTGTATGATTTCAAAGTCTTTGAAAGCTTTTCAGGCAGTGAGAGTGAATATTCCCCAGTGAAGCGCCATATTTAAAGACCCCCCTGCTGTTTTGGAAGTTTTATATGTTGCCAAAGGGAAGGAGAAACTCGGGGACACACCCCCGTGGCCAAACACCACGATATAGGAAGATACATATTGAAACGATGGGTATGAAGGGTGACAGGAGGGAGGAGGAGTGGTGTGGTGAGGGTGGCAGGGCCCCAGGCACCATCCCCGGGCCACGCAAGCCACGCGGTGACTCAGCAAAAACCAGCCTCCCCTACCCCACCCCCACAACCTGCACCCCCACAACCTGCACAGCCCAACCACAGCCAAAACCCACGGTACAATATCCAACCCCACCACAAACCCCCTGGATTGGCAGGCGGGGGACGATTTGTTCCCCGTCCCCCGATTGATGAAACACAAAGTGGAATAAAGCCATTTTTGCCACTTGGGAACAAAGCCCTGAATGGATCTTTTAGTTATTTTTCGTTTAACCCCCGTGGACACATTGTCAGGGGAAACCAACACAACTGTGAATACACCCTGGCAAATACAATTCCTCACCAAAATCACGGCTACACAAGTGGAAGGGGACAACTGTGGCAGAATTTTCCGTTTTTTGCCACAATAATGCTTATGCCCCCAAATTTAAAGCACCTGTCACCACATATGGACAAAAGATCGCCTGATTTCAACTCCAGGTTTTTTGTGACATTTTAAAGGGGCAATCGTTCCTGATACTGTTTCGTATGTTACACTTTTCAGACAAAACCAGGCCTGACAGAAGCGACAGGTTATATAAGATAAGAAATGTGTTTATGTACCTGAAACAAAAGTGCTGCATGTATTTTTATCCTTCAGGAAGCTTGTTATTGATGAGTCCTTGATTTTATTCAAAGGAAGACTCTCATTCAAGCAATATATACCAAGCAAGAGGAAACGCTTTGGTATAAAAGCTATTTGTACTGTGTGATTGCAGAAGTGGTCTTGTTTTAGATATTATTGTGTACACTGGCAGTAATACTTTGAGAGATACCATGAAGTTATTGGGTATCTCTGGTGATGTGGTTCGAACAATGATGGAACCATATCTTGGTAAGGGGCATATGTTATTTACTGATAACTGGTACACAAGCCCCTTACTCAGTGATTTCTTGCGAGTGAACTTGACAGACGTGTGTGGCACAGTGCGTGGTAATCGCAAACATATGCCAAGGTTCGACGCTGGCACTCGCAGAGGTGAGGTGCAAGCCTTTGCTGCCAATGACATCATGGCATTTCGGTGGCATGACAAACGTGATGTCACATTGTTGACATCAGTTCACAGAAACGAAATGGTACCCAGTGGCAGGGACAACAGAGAGACCAATGAACCCATTCTAAAGCCTGCAGCTGTCATGGACTACAACCTCAATATGCGCTTAGTGGAAAAAATGTGACATGCAGATTGGGTTTGCAGACTGTGTACGCAAGAGTTATAAGTGGTATATCAAACTTTTTTCCATCTTGTTGATATCTCTATGCTAAATGCTTATAACATATACAAGTTGAAGACCAACAAAACACCAAAATATGGTGAATTTTGCCTGTCAGTAATCAGACAAATAATTGCAAAGTACAAAGGAGCAACTCCTGCAATAGACCAGCGCCCACAGACGTCATCTCGTTTGAGGCCTGGTGATCACTACCCCATACAACTGCCTCCCACTACTGCCAAGAAAAATGCTCAGAAGAGGTGTTATGTATGTATGCATACCACAAAAAAGCCCACAAACACGCAGAGACACTCGTTTTATGTGTGAGGAGTGTGAAGTGCCCCTCTGCATATACCCATGTTTCAAAGAGTTCCACAAGCTGCAGCAGTTCTAGGAACGTGGTTAGTGACTGTACATATGTATATATAATTATGGAACAATAGTAATAAACATTGTTTTGTATTGTTTGTTTGTGTAAACAAAGTGTATACACAAACTAATAGTGATAAAGTTTGTTCTGTTATTGTGTTGTAAATAATGAGTGTATATTTGAACAATGCACCTTACATTGGTCTCACAGGCCACATAAGTTACCTGGAAAAGAAAAATATTGAAAAATGCAAGAAACCTTTGAATTAGAGTAAATAAAAGAATACCGGGTGGGCGGCAGTCGCCGCTGTTGCCGTACGCACGTCAATTTCTGCAAACTTTGCGGCTCTATATCTCGGTAAGTACTGATGGCAAAAATTTTTTTTAGGCTTAAAACACTAGTAAAAATATTCCTAACATTTTCATAAGAAAAAATAATTTTTTTTTTTTTTGAATATTTGGCGACATAGAATGACAGTTTCAGAGAGGGCCCTGAAACAGTCAAAGGGTTAAAAAAAAAAAAAAAAAAAATTTCTTTCAAATGAAATGTTAAGATTAATTTTCTGATTGTTTTAAGCCCCAAAAAACTTTTTTGCAATCAGTACTTACCAAGATATAGAGGAGTAAAGCTGGCAGAAAATGAGCTGTGGATGGCAACAGCGGCGAATGCCGCTCACCCGGTAAACTTTGGTTTACTTGCATTCCAAGGTTTCTTGTTTTTTTTTTTCACTATTTTATTTTTCAGGTAATTTATGTGGCTTGTGAGTCCAACGTAAGGTGCAATGTACATATATACACTTGTTGTATACAACACAATAAGTGCACAAACATAATTATCAATATATTGTTTACAAAACTTGTTTAAAGAAACAAACAATACAAAAAATTGTTTATTACTATTGTTTTATAATATACAGTGGAACCTCTACTTGAGAGCGTGTCCACGTGCAATATGAGCAGTCGATGGGTCGATTTTTTGCTTCCATACGCGAGCAGACCTCAAGGCAGATTCCTTGACACTGGTGAGGGGCTCTTGCTCTTGATCTCGGGAACTGTATCTCATTTGTTTGTTGGACTATCTTATTGAAACCTGGGCAATGTATGATGGAAAAATGCTTCTTAACGTACACCAAAAATGAAAGAAATCTAAGCATAAATAATGGAGTTCACTTCTCAGCAATTAGCCACCCCTTAGCAGTAATTTTGAATGGTTTTTATGGTTGTATTCACATTTGTTTGGTCTCATTTGATAGAATGGAAGATATATTACAGAAATAGATATGATTGTAATTGCTTTCACAACGAAAAGTGCCTTGAAATTGAGCTCAACCTAGGACAAATGGTCAATTGCTTGGCTGTTTCAGAGTAAACAAATGACGTCACTGTCCATTCCAATATGCAGTCGTGAATGGGTTGACATTATTTATACAATTTTGCAATAAGGAATAACAGTAAATCTTATATTTTTTGTGTGAATAAAAATTACAAATTATTTATATAATAATAATAATAATATGTATAATAATGCATATAATAATAATTTTATTATTATTATCACACTGGCCGATTCCTACCAAGGAAGGGTGGCCCGAAAAAGAAAAACTTTCACCATCATTCACTCCATCACTGTCTTGCCAGAAGGGTGCTTTACACTACAGTTTTTAAACTGCAACATTAACACCCCTCCTTCAGAGTGCAGGCACTGTACTTCCCATCTCCAGGACTCAAGTCCGGCCTGCCGGTTTCCCTGAACCCCTTCATAAATGCTACTTTGCTCACACTCCAACAGCACATCAAGTATTAAAAACCATTTGTCTCCATTCACTCCTATCAAACACGCTCACGCATGCCTGCTGGAAATCCAAGCCCCTCGCACACAAAACCTCCTTTACTCCCTCCCTCCAACCTTTCCTAGGCCGACCCCTACCCCGCATTCCTTCCACTACAGACTGATACACTCTTGAAGTCACTCTGTTTCGCTCCATTC